TACAAAATTTTGTAAATGAGTAATTTTTCTCCTTCGCTGATGTGTGCTAATGAGGCTGCAGTGATGGGCACTGATAGGCTGCACTGATGAGGAGGCACTGGTAGGTGGCACTGATGGGCATTGAAAGGCATCACTGGTGGGCATTCAGACATCACTGATGAGCACTGAAAGGCAGTACTCATATATGGCACTGATAGGCAGTACTGACGGGCACTCATAGGTGGCACTGACTGAGGAATACCGATTACCGCCTCTCCTCTCCCCACGAGCTGTCAGTGTGAAGAGAGAAATGCCGGTAACCGGCAATTTATTTACATGTGATTGGATACAGCTGATCACATGACAGAGCCGAAGTTATCGTCTCTTTCTGCTGATCGGTGATCTGCTGTGTCCCAGGGACACAGCGCACCACCAATCGCTGCGCGCCCTCAGGGGTGCGCACATGTGGTTAGAGTGGGAGGGCGTCGTATGACATCCTCCCAGATTGAGAGAACCACCGTGCTCCCATCGTTTCCTTGTATGGCGGGCAGTTAAGGAACAGTGGGTGTATACCATCCATTCTAGGTACTTTATTTCACCATTATTCTGTCTACATATTTTTGGATCATATCAATTGTGAGCCAATGTGGATCATCTGGTGCTGTGTCAATACCATGCCTACTGTGGACAAGAGCTTCCCCATGCTCCTTTGTATACACAAAGTTGAAGAAGGTATTTAATACATTTGAATTCTCTTTGCCCCCAGTCACCCACTCTAGATTATTTTGTAAAGGGCATACATGCTCGGACCGGGCCTGTTTAATATTAATATATTTGAAGAACTTTGGGGGGTTGATCCTGCTATCTTTTGAAATCTATCGTTCGTTTTCAATTTTTGCAGCCTTTATTTCCTTTTTGCGTATTCTGTTATATTCTTTGTAATGTTTAACTGCCTCCCACCCACCATATAGTCCAATGACGGACGCAAGGTGGTTCTCTCGTTCTGGGTGGACGTCATGACATCCTCCCATTCTCACCGCGCATGCGCGGCTCCGGGAGCGTGCGGCGATCGGCGGTGCACTGTGTCCCTCGGACACAGGGGATCACCGATCCAGGGAAAGAGCCAAAGATGTCGGCTTGGTCATGTGATCAGCTGTGTCCAATCACAGCTGATCACATGTAAAGCGGGAAATGCCAGATATCGGCGTTTCTCTCCTCACAAGCTGTCACGCTGACAGCTCGTGAGGAGAGGAGAGCCGGTAATCGGCATTCCTCGGAGGGGACATGTGCACTGATCATCAGGGCACTGATGATCAGTGTGTCATGATCAGTGTAGCCCCAGCACTGCCACCTGTCAGTGTCCATCAGTGCCAGCTCTCAGTGCTCATCCATGCCACCTGCCAGTGCACATCAATGCCACATATCAGTGCCCATCTGAGCTGCCTTTCAGTGTCACCCATCAGTGCCACCTATCAGTGTGCATCAGTGGTGCCTATCAGTACCGCCTATCAGTGCCAGTCAGTGCTGCCTATCTGTGTGCATCAGTGCCACCTATCAGTGCCAGTCAGTGCCGCCTATGTGTGCATCAGTGCCACCTATCAGTGCTGCCTGTCAGTGCCCATCAGTGATGCCTGTCAGTGCCCATCAGTGCCTCCTATCAGTGTCCATCAGTGCAGCCTATCAGTGCCCATCACTGCAGCCTCATTAGCGCACATCAGTGAAGGAGAAGAATCACATATTTACAAAATTTTATAACAAAAACTAAAAAAAAAAACGTTTTTGTTTTCAAAATCTTCAGTGGTTTTTGGTTTGTTTGAGAAAAAATAAAAAAACTCAGAGGTGATTTAAATACCACCAATATAAAGCTCTGTCACAAAAAAATGATAAAAATTTCTAATGGGTACAGTGTTGCATGACCGCGCAACTGTCATTCAAAGTGTGACAGCTCTGAAAGCTGGAAATTGGCCTGGGCAGGAAGGGGGTATAAGTGCCCTATAGGATAGTGGTTAAACGATTATAGCCTTCCTTCATTTTTATATTTAATAAAAGCTCTTTTATTATCTATAGCTTTTTTAACTTTGGCCACATAGGTTTGATTTTTAGCCTTTTAAACTTGTTGCCCATGGGAATATATTTTGCAGTATGTTCACATACAGTTTTTTTTGAAGAACTCCCATTTCTGTGTTGAGTTCATTGATGCCAATATTCCCTCCCAGTCTAAGTCTTGGAGAGCAACTCTCAGCCTTGGAAAATTAGCTCTCTTAAAATTGAGCGTTTTTATTTTTCCCGTATGTGCTCGCTGTTTACAGCTAACAATAAATGAAATCATGTTATGGTCACTGCTACCCAGATGTTTTTATTTGGACATTCCTAATAAGCTCTGCATGGTTTGAGAGGACTAGGTCCAGCAGAGCATCATTCCTAGTTGGGGCCTCTATGAACTGTACCATTAAAATTTGTACTGTAGTAGGTTTAAAACTTTTTGCCCTTTAACTGTTCCTGCAGTACCATTACTCCAGTCAATTTCTGGGTAGTTAAAATCTCCCATTATTATCACTGTCCCAGCACTTGCAGCCTTTTTAATCTGTGCAAGGAGCTGAGTCTCTACCTCCTCATTAACACTGGGAGGCCTATAACAAACTCTTGTAGTAAGCACCCCCATGTGCAGTTCCAACCATAATACTTCAGCCTCATCACACTCTCCATCAAATAGGTCCTCTTTCACACTCACTGTGAGATCACTTTTTACATAGAGACAGACACCACCACCTTTCCTATTTACCCTGTCTCTCTGAAAGAGAACATAGCCAGGAAAATTAATGATCCAGTCATGTGAAGAATGAAGCCAAGATTCAGCAATACCAATTAAATCATAGTTCTCTACATGCACCAAAGCTTCCAACTCACCTATTTTGCTTGGCAAACTTCTAGCATTGGTGAACAAACACTTTAATTCATTGACACCTTGTGCACACATATTTTGCATATTTTTTATTTTCAGACAAATGGTACCAATACCACTGGTTGTTTGTAACATATCATCTGCCATAGCCTTCCCCCATCTTTCCCCGTCCCACCCACCAATACGTACTGAGCCCTGTCTGATCTGTGTACCCCGTTATAATCTAATTCTCCCTTCCCCCTCGATCCTAGTTAATATTATTACATCGAGTTTATATAGCGCCAAAGGGTTTGCTCAGCGCTGTACAATAGAGGGGGGGGACAATACATGAAACAGTACAGCAACAACAAACCGCACATGAGGGGTTAGAGGGCCCTACTCTTTTGAGCTTATAATCTAGGAAGGAAAGGGTAGTGGTACAGGAGGAAGTGGCTGTGGGGGATGGAGTGGTAGGAGGAATGGAGGACAGCTGTTAGGTAAGGGTGGGGTACTTCTCCAGCCTTCCCATAAACCTCTCCCCCAGCACAGCTGACTCCATTCCATTTAGGTGCAAACCATCACTAGCATATAGGTTGCACCCCAATAAAAAGTCATCTCAGTGCTCCAGAAACCCAAATCCTTCCCTCTAACACCAGGTCTTCAGCCATGCAGAGTTCTCTAATTTCCCCGTCTTTCCTGAGTTGTGCATGGGTCTGGTAATATTTCAGAGAATATCACCTTGGAGGTCCTTCCCTTCAACTTGCAGCCTAGTTCTTTAAATTGATTCTTAAGGAGCCTCCACCTTCCATATATTCTGTCATTGGTTCCAACATGGACCAAGACAGCTGGGTCATGCCCAGCCTCTCCCAGTAATTTATCAGCCTGGTCCACCACATGCCGAACCCTGGCACCAGGGAGACAGCAAACCATTCGATTGAGGCGATCCTGGTGACAAATTATTCTATCAGTCCTTCTGATTATAGAATCCCCTACTACCACGAGCTGTCTAGGCCTTCCTGCACTACCCTTGCCACCCTTCCCAGATGGTTTGCCCCCCGGCTTTTAGGGGCAGCAGTGACATCCAGGGCTGCCACCCCTGACTTTGCCACCCCCGCATCTTCACCCAACTTGGCAAATGTATTTGGGTGCACGAACCCAGGGCCGGCATTCCTTTTCTGTGAGCCCCTACCACTCCCTCTCGTTACAGTAACCCATCTTCCTACCTGATCCTGATTAGCCCCTCCGCCCTCCACATCAATCCCATTGGCTACCTGCTCAGAGAGCAGAAGACCCCTTTCAAGATTGTCAATTCTGCCCAGTGTTGCAACTTGCTCCTCCAGATATCTAACACGAGCTTCCAGAAGGGCAACCCGCTCATATCTGTCACAGTGGTATCCATCCTGGAGCTGTTGCTCCATTGCTGCATACATGCGGCACACTATACACTGCACAAAACCTTCCACCCTGCTAGCACTCATATCCCAGTTACAATATTAATAGAAAATATCAGTTGTCACAGGTTATTAGACTTCTGTTATAATCTCCTGTTTTCAGCACTGGTTTTTTAACTTCGATTATCAAATATCCACTTAGTCAAAGGTCCAGCAAGCAATCCTAATTATTTTTATAATTTTATGACAGGAACTAAGTGGTTTATTTTGGGAAATGGCTTTAAAGAATCCTGCTGTAGAAGTGTTCGGTCTTACAGAATGACCTTGAATGAAGATTCTTGGCAGTGGATGCCATGCACTGTCTCTGATAAATAGGCATGAGTGTTCACGAAACTGAAAGTGTAAATGCATAAGTGGGAATGTTGTTCTTGCTGGTTTGTTGCCGTGAAAACTCAGCACTCTCAGAATGCAAATTTGCTTATTTAGTAAAATATGCAACTTCAGCCAGCTGACCCACTCTGATGTTTGCCAAGAAGTCTAGTTCCCTTTCCTTTTGTGTGACCCTTCTTTAGGATACTGCTAGAATTTTAATATAAGAACATCAACTTTTAAGACTTGTGTTGGCATGTATTCTAGTAAATTTAGAATCAGATTTGTAAAGATGAAGCTGGTTTATCGCACCACACGCTGTTTTTCTTTGCATCCATCACCTATCTGATTTCCTGTGTTTTTTTTTTTTTTCCATTTAGACAAATGGTGGCGCGAAGTTTGTTAGACACATTAAAAGAAGTCAGTGATGACGAGAAGGATTGTATTTCCGTGTTAGAGAGGGTTTCCAAACTGTCAGATGATTCTGGTATGTATTTTTCCACAGAAACAACTTTTGTTTGTTGTAAACATCTGTATGCAGAAGTGTGTCCACCTGCATAATGACCCCTGTGATTACTGAACTTCCAGACTTGCAATTAGAGATCTGGCCCTGGAAGCTTAACCACTTGCCTACTGGGTATTTTTACCCCCTTCCTGGCCAGGCCAATTTTCAGATTTTAGTGATGTCGCACTTAGAATGACAATTGCGCAGTCATACAACACCGTACGCATATGAAATTTGTATAATTATTTCCCATAAATAGTGCTTTCTTTTGGTGGTATTTAATCACCACCACTGGGTTTTTTTTTATTTTTTTGCACTATAAAGGAAAAAAGACTGAAGGTTTTGAAAAAAAAAAGTTGTTTTTTTTTTTCCTTTTGTTTCTTTTATAAAATTTTACAAACAGGTAATTTTTGCTCCTTCACTGATGTGCGTTGATCAAGCTGCACTGATAGGCTGCCTGGATGAGGTGGCACTGGTGGGCATTGATGAGGAGGCAATGATGGGCACTGATATGTGGCATTGATGGGCACTAATTGGGTGCACTGACTGGCAGCACTGCTGGGCACAGATTGGCTGCACTGATAATCAGGGCATGGATAGTCTGTACCCTGATTATCTATGTGGATGTCTCCCTTCACAGTTGCTGGTAATCAGCAGTACTTTCCTCACGCTGTGACAGCTTGAGTTAAGTACTGCCGATAAGCAGCAAATGTATTTACATGATGATCAGCTGTGACTGAACACAGCTAATCACGTGTGATTGGCCCTCTACCTTGTCATGTAATCAGCTGTATCTAAAGGACACAGCGATCACAGATAGTGCAGGGTGCTCTCCGCTGGAGGCGTGCGGGGGGGGGGGGGGGGGGGCACGTTCTGGGAGGACACGGTTAAGCCCCAGTTCTCACTGTTGCGACTTGCGACACACAGTCACATGGTAATTGAAAACTCATTTCTATTGTGGCCATTCTAGTCAATGTGACTCAAGTCACATTAACTTTTAAGAAAGTTCCTGTACTACTTTTGATGCAAGTGTCATGGACTCCTCAAGTTGCATGGAAGTCACATACATGTCACATTGCATAATCGCACTGGAAATCGCATGATAATGGGGTTGCAGCAGTGTGAACCGAATCAAATTGTTACCAGTACAATTGTACATGCATTGAGGGTTCAGACTTGGCCCATAGTGTCAAACAGCCGTAGAAACAAGGTATAGCAGCAGTGAAATACATTTTGCACAAATATTAGTTTATATCCACATTTTATGCAGTCATTCAGCTTTGCAATAGACATGGTAGTCACTGAGAGGAGAAAAGGGAACTGGTGCCTGTTTTCTAGAAGATTTATTTTCGCAGGGATACATTTGGTAATTGAAATAGTTTGTTTATATATTTTTGTAAAATGTTGTAGAGTAAACCACTTTTTGTCCTAACTTTTCACTACTGCACCTAGATTCACTTAGCCCTGGTTCACACTGAATGTGATTTCAAATTGGTGTGATTTGGTCCCATTTAAAGTGTGACTTCAAAGTAGCACTGATATAGACGCAGGTGCGATTTTATTGCCATTTACCTTAGTCTGTGAGAGTAAAATCACACTGAAGTGGTGAAAAAGTCATTCAGGATCCATTTTCGAAATCTCACTACTTTAAAAATCACACCTATTAAGACAGTGTCACAGAAACACATTAGATGCCACTTCAAATGTGATTTGTAAATCGTATATCACACCTGAAGTCGTAGCGGTGTGAACCAGGGCTACATCTTAATCATCTTCCTATCCTGAGCTTATGTTTGGACAGTAAATAAGCAGCAGTCTGATATTCTTATTTCAGTTCTTTCCTCTGGCCAGGATGTTCCTTGTCATCACATGAGATCTGTAGAACTCCTGATTGCCAGCTGGCAGTGCCCATACATTTTGAGCTAAGCTGTACAAACTATTTGGGCTACTTTCACACTGTTCCATAGCAAAAATGCATATACATTTTTGCCGCATTTGGGGTACATTTTTGCCATGTGATTCAAAAACTGCACCAAAAACGCAATACAGGTGCATTCTTGCCACGTTTTTCATTTATTTCCATAGGGAGGTGCATTTTTGGTGCATTGTGGTTTTTTTTTTTTGTTTTTTGTTTTTTTTTTACTGCACCAAAAATGGAGTAAGCAGGATTTTTAAAAACACGGCAGACCCGCAGCAGATCATTGTGAAGAGTTCCATAGGATTACATGGTCAAAGGTTCTTCCTGATCATTGTGAAAGCAGCCTTAAAGTGTTACTAAACACACAACAGTAAAATCAGTCTGTATATGCAGTAAAGCATGCTTCTTTTACTTACTGTGGAACGTAAGAGGTTAATCATCTGTATTGTGTAAAAAAGATGTTTGATCCTCTCTTTTCTGCCTCTTCCCTCTTGTTGAAATGACCACCTAATACAGACTGAATCCATAGTCACTCTGCACATGCTTAGTTTGGTGTGTATTGCTAGAGAGGTTTTTTTTTTTCTTGGGAGAGTGCATGTGATCAGCACAGGGCCAATCAGCACTGTCCAGATAGAGGGTCAGGACTGTCGCATCCTCCTAGAGCAGAAAGAAAGCTCCTCCTACAAGCTTTAACCAGTGCCCTGCTGAAGTCACAAGACTTCTCTAACTTCTGATGAGAAAATATATTTAGCAGTTTATATTTACTAAAATAATTGCACTTCCATGTTGTGTATACTGTGGGAGACCAGATATAGTGAATGCAGGGTGCTGGGTTTAGCAACACTTTAATTAGCTAAGCTCTGGGGAAATTCCCTTGCAAAGTGAACAGCCTATTTTGCCTTTGATAAATCAGCCCCAGTGACTCACAGAATTAAAAGCTTGAGGTAACCATTATTTCCAGAACAAGAGCAACAGTGATGACAAAATTGTCCTCTCAGTATGAGTCAAATGTAAAGAATTTTATAAGTGGTGTAGGGTTTTTAACCCCTAAAAACCCACACCACTCTGCAACACAGTGCATTGCATGTTGTGCTGTGGCTCCAGTCAGGTGACTGTGTAGCATTTGGGGAATATTTTTTTTCCATTCTGCAGTGCAAAGCATTGCAGCTGCAGCATGTGTATGCCCCTGTCTGCTGCCTTTGTAGCTGATTGGGTGTAGTTGAAGGCTGCACAAATGCAGCTCAACCACTTGGTTTTTATTTGATTACATTCTGGTAAATGTTACAAAACTAGATTAAATATTTACTCATTTTGACTTTAGAAGTTTATTAAAGATCCTTAGTTTTGCTGTTTATCTTTCAGAGCCCACCGTGCGTGCCGAACTCATGGAACAAGTGCCTCACCTTGCAATGTTCTGTCAAGAGAACAGGCCTTCAATTCCTCATGCTTTCTCCAATTACCTTCTACCCATTGTAGTGCGTTATCTAGCTGACCAAAATAACCAGGTTGGGTTCTTCTTGTACATTTTGCTTATGTATTTCATGTATTATTTTTTTTTTCAGTGGTGTTTGGTAACCTGTATTACAATAATTATGAGTACATCTTGCTATGAACACAGCTTCACATTCTTGGCCAACCCTACACTTAACCTTTTTTACAGCATTATTGGTGCCTGTAAGTCTTAAGGCCCATACGATCAGACACATAAGAAAATCATACAAAAATTTTCATATTAGGAGCATTTGTGCGAAAATCTGATCATTGGTATACACTTTTTGAGAGCCGATCACAACAGTTGAAGTGACAATAACCGAAGGGACAAAAATTGTTTTCTGTGACAATATTTTTTTTCGCAACGTGTAATAGTACAATACAATTAGTCGTCCGTGCAGGGGCTTTAAAACAACAGAAAAACAGACAACAAACTGGGCGATGGCTATATTGCTTTTTAACAGTATAATTATTCACAATGCAGTTATGCGACCTAGGTCACATTATGGCTTTAATGACCCAGGAGAAAGTCCTGAGAGGACAGAAGGTTGGTACTAGAATTATCGACCTATCGTTCCTTTTGAGATGAGGTAAAGAATAAATAGGGACAGAAGAAGAAAAAAGAGAGGGGAGGACCGAGGGAAAAAGTGTAAAGGGGGAAGGATGGTGACAGTTTCTACAGGTCTGGACCCAAATCAGAAGTTAAGGAGCACCCAAACTCAACGTGGATAGGAAAGGGAAGGCATAGGTCCAGCCAGGGTGCCATACTTTCAAAAATGTATTGTGAGAATCCTGTAGAATTGTAGAATGCTGACCATCTTTTCATGTAATATCAGGTTAGTCAGCATAGTCTTAACCATATGGAAAGGTACTGAAGGTTTCTTTCACGCCTTGGCTATGACCAGTTTGGTGGCTATAAATAGTTAGGTGGAAGCATCAGAGGGCTAAGTAGGGTAGGGTGAAGTCTGTGCAGAAGCCACAGCAAGCAGTGCCCTGACAGAGAGAGGGGCGCAATTGGGAAGTTCCAGGAGCACCCATAGGGGGATATCTGTAGTAGCATGAAGCAGGGTGAGTTGTGCAATCTGCGCTGCTTTATAATGTTTTGCAACATTCGGAACTCCTTGACCACCTCTAAGTCTATGGGCATACAATGTGGAGTGTGGAACTCTAGGGCGTTTTATAGGCCCAAATGAAGAAAAGAATCTTGTTATGAAGAAGGTGTAAGAAAAAGTATGGTACTTGAACAGGCAATGTTCGGAACAACGAAACAATATTTGGGAGGATACTCATTTTATCGTATGTATACGGCCAGTCCACGATGAGGAAGAGAATTGCCATGATAGCAATAAAGAGGTGATTGTTCGAAGGAGTGGGTAATAGTTGGATGAGAAAAGGGTTGAATAAGACGTGACTAGTTTGAATCCTAGATAGTCTATGGAAGAGGTCGCCCAGTGGTAGGGAAAATATTGCTGGAGGAGGGGAACAAGGAGATATTGCGTGCCGTTGTTTTGTGCGGATTAATCTGAAGACCCGACAATGCCAAAAAGCGGGAGAGAAGACGTTGTAGGTTAGGCAGAGAAGTCAGGTGATTCGTGAAAGTAAGCGAAAAATGTTTTCATACTATACCAGATCATACAAATTTCATTTAATCAGTACAGTAGTCTGAAAATACAGTACAAAACAATACATGACCTCATTTCTGAAATTCTATTTGATCGTACGAGAATATTCATAAGTTTGAGTAACCTCTTCATTTTCGATATGAGACTAGCATGCAAAAAATAAAAAGGACGATATATTCACATTGTGTGTACTAGGCATTACTTTAGTAATATCCATATTTACCATCACCATGTATGCCGTTTTTGTGTGTTTATAAAAAAAAAAAAACTGCTTTGTTTATCTAGCTGTCAGATTTGTTTGAGGGTTCCCATGAACGTTTGCTTTAATGGGCTAGGTCCACACTGTAGCTGGACTGGGATCACATGTAATTCTCACTTAATTCCTAATGGCACCCCCACACATCAGAAAATACAGCACGTTTTCAGGTGCACAAGACCGCATGGTGCCATGCGGCTGTGTTTTTGGAAAAGGGATGGGAACTTTTTTCCCTGCCGGTACAGCAGCCTATTAAAATGGGTGAGATGCTGTTCCTGTGCAAACTTGTTCTCACGGACCCACTACAGTGTGAACCTGGCCTTAGAGTTTGTGCTTATGTGATAGAATAATCTAATAACTTTAGGATTCTGATTCAACAATATTTTTCTCCTTGGCTGATCATATGTCATTGTTTTAGGTCAGAAAGACCAGCCAAGCAGCATTGTTGGTACTGCTTGAGCAGGAGCTCATAGAGAGGTCAGATGTAGAGAGTAAAGTATGTCCAGTGCTCATTGACCTAACTGCTCCAGACAGCAATGATGATGTCAAGACCGAAGCTGTGGCGGTGAGTTTCAACCTTTCGGAATCTTGTGCATTGTCAGTTAATGAAAATTATGTTGGATTAACTTTTTTATGTATAATAGCTGTCCTGTGATGCAAATTGGACCACTAGGCTGCTCGGGCTTTTTTTTTTTATTATCTGTATTTTGTTTTCTCTAATCTTTTGTTTTTATATTGCAACTTGATTAAATTGAACCTTTGTGAATAAATACATTTATAAATACATCTATTTTCTAATAGAGTAGGAAGACTTGGGCTTCATTCACACTTGAGCGTAGTGAATTTGAGCAAATTTGCATGTGATTTTGTGCGATTTCATACAGCATTTTTTTAGGCATTTTGAGGTTTGGCATTTTTATAAATTATCCAATAGAAAAAAATATCATACCTTGCATCATTTGTTGCTAGGTTTTTCAGCTTTTTTTTTTTTTTTTTTTTTTGCGTTTTCCATCAGCTTTTACTTTTTATTTTTTTTTTTTTTTTTTTAGGGTAAGGGTTAGAGTTAAGGTTAGGTAAAGATTGGGGATTAGGGGTTAATATTGTCTTTTTTTTTTTTTTTTTTTCCTTGTTAGGGTGTTTATAATATACTAAAATACACAAAAATAATCATAAATAATAAAATAAATGAATACGATGTATTAATAAATACAAAAGAAATAACCCCTAACCTTAACCACCTAGCCCTAAAAAAAAAAAAAAAATTAATAATTGAAAAAGAAGTAGTGCTTTTTATCCCTATTTATACTTGCATAGGTGGATGCAGCATTGATCCGATGCTGCATCTGTCCCCCTCGAGCTCTAAGGGTGAGAACTCAGCAATCACATGACGGTTAATCGCTGATTTCTTCTCTCTGCTCTGAGCAGAGAGCGGTGATAGTCAGTCACCGCTCTCTGCTCGGCCCCTCCAGCACTCACTGGAGCGTTGGGCTGTGGAGGGGGAGGGAATGACTGACCAGGCGGATCACTGAGAGGCTGAGCCAGGTACTGCTTCAGACTCCGGGGTGGATCCCGTCTTTCCCCAGCCTGGACCAGCTGAGTGACGTCAGTCGGCAGCGGACTTCTGTTCGCTGTCAGCTGAAAACTGGTCACAGGAGTGCAGAACAAACTGCTCTCCTGTGATCCACAGGCGTACAGCCAAAAAAGCTTTTGGCTGTACTTCTGCTTTAAACACCCTAACACAAAATAAATTATTAATAATAATAACAATAATCACTATATTTTGGGGGGTTTTTATTTATTTTTATTTTATTTGGGGGGGTTAGGGGTTCTTTATTATTGCATATTAAGTTTGTGTTCTTATTTATTTTACATTAATTCATATATTTTTTTTTATCTGAGCTGAAAATCTCGCAAAAATGCGCAACAAAACGCACGTTTCCATTCATTTCTATGAGAATAAAAATGCACCCAAAATGTGCAAATCTGCCCAATTTAACCTACAACAAAAAGCCCAGAACTTTTTTGAACTTCAAGCTCAGGTGTGTTTGTGTGTGTGTGGCAAGCGGGATATTTTTTTTGTTTTAATGTATCATTGGGAAAATTACCCTTCTTGTTCTGAGAACAGCTCTAAAAAAAATTTGGATTTCCCTTCACTTTGTTTCAGTAAATTACTGTGTTTGTACATTGAACGGGAAAAAAATGGTGTTGGTAATCACATGTAAATTAAGCTTGTGCGTATATTTTTGTTTTCTTTAAACAAAAAAAAAAAATACATACATACATCTCAAAACAATTAAAGGAACACTTTGAAAACATATCAGATCTCAATGGGAAAATATATATGCTGGATACCTATACTGATATGGACTGGGTAATATGTTAGGAACGCAAGGATGCCCCATCGTTTGTTGGAAATGAGAATTATCAACCTACAGAGGACTGAGTTCAAAGACACCCCAAAAATCAAATGTAAAAATGATGCAGCAGGCTAGTCCATTTTTTTGAAATTTCATTGCAGCAACTCAAAATGGTACTCAGTAGTTTGTATGGGCCCCCACGTGCTTGTATGCATGCCTGACAATGAGATGACGGATGGTGTCCTGGGGTATTTCCTCCCAGATTTGGACCAGGTCATCACTGAGCTCCTGGACAGTCTGAGGTGCAACCTGGCGGCATCGGATGGACCGAAGCATATCTCAGAGGTGTTCTATTGGTTTTAGGTCAGGCAAGCTTTGGGGCCATTCAAAGGTATTCATTCATCCTCCAGGAACTGCCTTCATACTCTTGCCACATAAGGCCGGGCATTGTCGTGCACCAGGAGGAACCCAGGACTCACTGCACCAGTGTAGGGTCTAACAATGGGTCCAAGGATTTAATCCCAATGGCAGTCAGAGTGCCATTGTCTAGCCTGTAGAGGTCTGTGCGTCCCTCCATGGATATTCCTTCACAGATCATCACTGACCCACCACCAAAACGGTCATGCTGAACGATGTTACAGGTAGTATAACGTTCTCCACGGCTTCCCCAGGCCCGTTTACGTCTGTCACATGTGCTCAGGGTGAACCTGCTCTCCTCTGTGGAAAACACAGGGCGCCAGTGGCAGACCTGCCAAATCAATGGCAAATGCCAATTCGAGCTCTGTGGTGCCAGGCAGTGAGCACAGGGCCCACTAGAGGACTTCGGGCCCTCAGGCCACCCTCATGAAGTCTGTGGCTGATTGGTCAGAGACATTCACACCAGTGGCCTGCAGGAGGTCATTTTGTAGGACTCTGGCAATGCTCATTCTGTTCCTCCTTGCACAAAGCAGCAGATACCGGTCCTGCTGATGGGTTAAGGACCTTCTACGGCCCTGTCCAGCTCTCCTAGAGTAACTGCCTGTCAACTGGAATCTTCTCCATGCTCTTGCTGGGAGACACAGCAACTCTTCTGGCAATGGCACATATCGATGTGCCATCCTGGAGGAGCTGGACTACCTGTGCAACCTCTGTAGGGTCCAGGTATCGCCTCATGCTACCAGTAGTGACACTGACCCTAGCCAAATGCAAAACTAGTGAAAAACAGGCAGAAAAGATGAGTAGGGAAAAATGTAAGTGGCCTCCACCTGTAAAGCCATTCCTGTTTTGGGGATGTCTCATTGTTGCCCATCTAGTTTACCTGTTGTTAATTTCATTAACACCAAGGCAGCTGAAACTGATTAACAACTCCCCCTGCTACTTAACTGACCAGATCAATATCCCAGGAGTTTAATTGACTTTACTTGACTTGATGATATACTCATTAAAAAGTGTTTTATGGTTTAACCATCCATTTTGGATTCACCCTGTATTGAAGCCATTGCTAAAGGTCACCTTGGGAATTGTTTATCTTCATACTAATTGGCAATCAGGTGGGGGGATTGTTTAATCATAACAGTTGTAGGCAACCTTGATGCTCCAGCTGTTGTGGGACTACAAGTTCCCTAAGGTGTTGCAAGACTCAGTCACATGCATGACTCCCAGATGCATAATGAAATTTGTTTTGCAACAGCTGGAGTGCCGAGGTTGCTTTATTATAATCTGTAGCCATCATTTGTAAGGCTGGGCTCACACTAGCTCTTTTTCTCTCTTTCTCTCAGCTTTGTAAGCTTATAGTACTATTAATCCGTCAGCCATTACTGAATGGTATTGGGGGAACTGATTGTGCTGACCTTGTAATTAGATAAACATATCATCTGCATTTTTTGTTTTATTTTTATTTTTTAGATAATGTGTAAAATGGCATCCATGGTTGGTAAGGATATAACAGAAAGATTAATCCTTCCAAGGTTTTGTGAGATGTGTTGTGACTGTAGGATGTTTCATGTCCGCAAGGTAAGCATATCTATCATTATATTGAAAATATTACTGTATATGTTGTGTGCACAGTATCAACGCCATTACTCTGTAGAAAATAATATTGCACTCCGAACACTTGAGGATACAAAGGGTAGTCAATATTTCTCTTATTTTACAGGGATATTACTTGCAGTGTCCCTTCACCAATTTTTTTTTCTTTGCTCAAAGTTGTTAGGAACAAGAAATATTTTCTGCTACCTGGATGTACAATTTCAGTGCAATAATAGCAGGCACTTAGTGTTCTCAGGATGATAAAACAGTGTCACTGAGAGCTAGGGCACAGAATATGTAGATATTGATTTTCATTCTCAAAGTTGCCATCCTCTCCCTTCTTTCTGCTGCACTTGTCTTTGTTGGCTTATTACCTTAAAGGATAAGTTCACCTTTCATAACATATGTTATTAAATCAGCAGCACCTGTACCCCCGAGCCCCCTTTGTTACAGTGGGCGGGGAATCTTCTCCTGCATCTTCTCCTGCACTCGCTGTCACAATTTAAAAAGAGTGTGCCTGAGTGGGTGCTCCGGCTACATCATTCATTCACAGGGCTCTATGAATGAGAGAACCATAACTACTATCTTCAAACAGGGCTTTTTTTTCGCAGAGAAAAGGTGCAGGAGCTCTCTCCCTTCCCCTAGACCACTTTGGTCTCTGCCCCCTACCCACCCCCCTAGAAACCACCTTTACACACCTCCTAGCACCACCCCCTTTAGAAATCAGGGAACAAAGTATATTTGTGGGGGATATGCATATGTACAAGCATATCAGCTGTACCTGCATGCAGGGAGGGTTGCGTACAGGGTGTGCCCTGAATGCAGACTGTGTTCAGGGTATATGTCCCTGTAAACATACATGGTGATGTACGCCAATATATGTGTACCGCCACTGTGTATTTCAGCTTGCTATTTATTTCTATTGGCAGCTAGCTGTACACAAGACCTACAATTCACTGGGCCCAGTTTGTACACTGTACAATAGGGATCAGTTCATGCATGTTCAGAGACGAGTCTGAATTTACCTGAGCTAACCTGCTAGGAAGCTTTCACTGCAGACTGCCAGTTATAGGTGGCAGAGGCATTCCCTGCCCTGAAACTGCATGTATACACGGCTGTTGTAAACATGCGGCTGCCTCTGCCACCTATGAATGGCTGTTGACTGTGACAGCTTCCCGGAAGGATAACTTAGCCCCCATATCCATCACGGCAACAATAGACATGCCCTCATACCAAGCACACCATATTCTAGCACATCAACAATAGATAGCCCTCCCATCAAAAAAAAAGCCTGAAATTAAGCTGTTTACTCAATTTGAATCCAGCTGTATTCACTGTAGTGCAGTTATAATATCCAAGTAAAAGATCTAACACCAACATGTCAGAAATTTTTTTTTAAAGATTCAAAAGCAGAATTCCTGAGTTGGAAAAAGGATCACCCCCTTGTGTTAGTATTTTTTTGAACCACTTTTTGTTTTAATTACAGCCTTCAGTCTGTTGGGCTATTTCTCTACTAACTATGCACATCTAGACTTTGCAATATTTGCCCACTCTTCTTTGCATAACTGCCCAAGTTCAGTTCAATTTGATGGTGACAATTTGTGGACTACAATCTTCAAGACATTCCACAGATTTTCAGTGGGGTTTAAGTTTGGGCTCTGACTAAGCCATGCAAGGACATTCACCTTTTTCTCCTCCAACCACCGTGTGGTCATTTTTTTTTCTGTGTGCTTTGGCTCATTGTCCTGTTGGAAGGTAAACCTTTTTCCCATTGACCACTTTCTGGCAGAGGGCAGTAGATTTTCCTCAGGAATTTGATGGTATTTTTGCCCCATCCATTTTCCTTTTATCCTGACAAGTGCTCCAGTCTCTGCTGCAGAGAAACACCCCCATAAAAGGATATTACCACCTCCATGCTTTACTGTAGGAATGTGTTATTTGGATGGTGAGCTGTATTGGATTTCTGCCAGACATACTAATGTTGTTGTTATTATTATTATTATTATACTGGATTTATATAGCGCCAACAGTTTGCTCAGCGCTTTACAATATAACGGGAGACAATACAGAAACAATACAAGAGGGTTAGGAGGGCCCTGCTCCTTGGAGCTTACAATCGTTCAGTGTTCAAGCCAAATAATTCAGTTTTAGTCTCATCTGACTAGAACACCTTTTTCCATGTGGCCTCAGAATCTCCAAGGTGTGTTTTTGACAAAGCTGAATTGTGAGTGCATGTGGTCTTTGAGGAGTGGCTTTTTTTCTTGCAACCCTCCCATACAAGCTACATTTGTGGAGAACTTGTGATATTGTTGTCACATGCACACAGTGACTACTTTGTCATAAATTCCTGCAACTGCTTCAGAGTTGCTGTAGGCCTCTTTGTAGCCTCTCTGACCAGTTTCCTCCTTGCTCTTTTATCCTGTTTGGGGCAACATCCTGATCCAGGGAGGGTCTGTGTTGTACCAAATACCTTCCACTTCTTAACAAAAGACTTCACTGTGCTTCTAGGCAATTGCTAAAGCCTTTGACTTTTTTTTTTGTATCCATCTTCTCACTTGTGCCTGTCCACAACTTTATCCTGGAGATCCTTTGACAGTACTTTGCCACCTATAGTTGATTCTTTGCTTCAGTTGCACTATCAGGGACTGAAATGCTCCAGGAAAGCAATTTTCATGCTGAGGTAATCAAAATGACCACGACTGATCACAGTTGAAAGTCAAATGGCTGTGTGCCATTGAGAAGGTGATAAACTACACCTGATTGAGGTTACAAGTCATTTTTAGGAGGAGGATGATCCTTTTTCCAACTCCGTGAATCTGTTTTTGAATTTGTTACATTTTTTTTTTACATGTTGGTGTTATATCCCCCACTTGGATGTTATAAGTTGTAAATACAGCTGGATTAAAATAAGGTAAATATGGCTTCATTTCAGGCTGCAAAGCAAAAACATTTGAATATATAAATTGTATATCATATAAAGGGGTTTGATTCTTTTCTTTACCCACTCTATGTATTCAGCAGCAGTCAGGACAGGCTAGCACATAGCAAGGTAGCTCTTTCTTACAGTTGTGCATGGCACCAAAACAGAGGAGAGGAGGATGCAGTCCAGTATAGAGGTTCTGACTTCCACTCTCTCAGGGCTGCAGTCAGCGCTAGAAGAGCTTTGTCAGATTATACAGCCCTGCTCACTCCACACCAGAAAATTGTCCTGCCTTCAACCATTGCTGCTGACAGTTTGTAGTTCTCAATGAACTACAAGGGCATTGGTGAGTGCTCTAGTAGTTGATTTTTTTCTGCCGTTCAGTAACTGCCTGCCCATATGAGGTATGGACAGACATGTACACTGGCTCCTAATAAAAAAAATACAAAAAAAAACAATGTACCTGCAAAAAGATGTGCATTTATTATTTTTTTAAAAAGGTGAACTTATCCTTTAAGGAAGACAGGGATGTGTTTCACTGGTCTGATATTGAAGCTGTACAGCTGCACCACCTGTTTAGTACCATGGGTTATAAAGTTGTATTGATTAACAGTTTAGGGAAACAAGTCTGTAGCACCATTAAACTGTACGAGAAGAGATATTTCCAATCTGTGCCTGGGAGCAGTTCTTTCCATTTTACTCAGTTGCTGGCTTATGTAAAACTGACATTCACAGTGCCAGTTCTTGTAGTGTTTCCTAACACTAATAAAAGTGCTGGCAAGACTTTTTTTTTTCTTTAAGTATTCAACAGCCCAGCCAAAAGTGGACCTGTTATTAAAAATCACACGTAATAAAAGCAGGGTAAGGTAGTACCAAATAACATACATGGTAAAATAAAAACATAAGTATATTAGATGGTAATATGACCTCCTCCTCACATTCCAAAGTGGACATATATGATGTTTAAAACCCCAGAGGACACTGAAGATGTTACATGTAATAAGTGGAATGTTATGAGACAAGCAATGGTACACAGAAAATACAGGTAGGTTTAGCTTCATTGTATTCATAGGGCCTATAGAGCCTTCAAAATCTCTTAGAAACCCATCACTGGATTAAATAACTAGTCTAAATGTAAATCCCCTTTCCTTGGTTTGATTTGCCTTCTGTGTCAGTTTCCAGTGATCAAAGCTATTTGGAGGCTGGCTGTTGCTTATATGAACAGGATGACAGGATGTCCCATCTGAGGGGTCCTCACCCCTCAGATGGGACTGTTACATTAAGCAAAACAACCTCAGAGGTTCAATCTTCTGATCTATTATAGTGGGAGCAGATTTATATATTCGTTAAAATACATTCTAAATAGATGGCTACAACCTTCCCCTTCAACGCTATCCGATCTTAGGATTCTACTAGGATACACTACTCAACGGAAACATACGCCTACTGATTCCTTTTTTTAATGTTTGGCCTAATTTTATTAAAAGTGACCATCTTCAGATATAGTGTGTTTACACTATGGTAAAGGAACTTTGTATAAACTTAGAGGTATTTTGAAGTCAATGGGACTGATGGCAGTTGCAGATGGGAAGCCTTCCCTTATGACCCACATGTGTGTTATCATTAGACTGTCTAGGGATGAGAGGCGTTATGAGCAGGAGTGTAAAGAAACCATATTAATCCTAGTTCAGTGCTGAGGTTTTAGCTTGGTAAAAAGCAGTATTGTATATTTTATAAATAAGTTTTCCTGTTTTTTTCACATTTACAACTTTTAAAATGTAATGGTATATTTTCACTAATGAGAGAAATTGTTAAATTGTAACTCTGGCTTTGACTGTATAATGCACACAATGTAACTCGAGTAAAAAGGAGGGAATGTATACTCTAAAAAATGACTAATTCAGACACTGCGTGGATTCTGTAAAAAAAAAAAAAAAAAAAAAAAAAAAAAAAGTTTGTAGATTTTTGTAGTTTATTGCATTTTTTTTTTTTTTTTCTAACAAGTCCCTCTTTGAGAAAATCAGCCTTGACCGTGTCTACTTGCTTCTGCAATAACTTAGTTTAGCTGTCTGAATACTTAGCTTAGCTGCCATAAATGCTTAGGTTAGTGCCCATTCCAGTTTGGCAGGGCCCGGAGTGGATGGAAAAATTGCCACAAGTATTGCAGTGTCCTACCCAAACAGTGAATTTTTGGGTAGGACACTTTTTCTCTCTGATATAGTTGTCTTTTAAGCTTGTATCCAGGTAGTGATTCTTCAATTTGTAATATTTACTTTTTCATTATAGGTCTGTGCAGCCAATTTTGGGGATATATGCAGCGTAGTTGGACAGGAAGCAACAGAGAAGATGCTGGTGAGTGCCAAATGGTCTTCAGTATATAAATGTAGGTTGTCAATCAAGTGACTACATATTAGTCTCTGAGCTTTCTTAGTATGCCCCAAGGCACTTTACATCCACACAAAGACTAAGCCAGGAACTAGCTGATCAACTAGAGCAGCAATGGGCAAACTACGGCCCGTGGGCCGTATACGGCCCGGCGGACCTTTTAATCCGGCCCGCGGAGCTAGGCTCCCGCTAGGCTCCTCTCACAGTCCACCCTGAAGACCGGTGTAGCATGAAAATCTGTCTCCTATAAGGATCTGTCCCCCTTGATGTATCTGCGCATCTGCCGGAGATCGCCGATTGGCTGCTAATGCCTGAAACTGGCACATGCGCAGATACGTCGAGGGGGACAGATCCTCATAGGAGACAGATTTTCATGCTACACCGGAACGGCGCGGGAACACGGCGAGAGGAACGCGCGGAGCAAAGGTAAGTGAATTGACACGGGGGACTTGGGGACTTAATATGGGGGATGAATTAATATGGGGAATGAATTACTATATGGGGGATGAATTACTATTTGGGGGATGAATTACTATATGGGGGATGAATTACTATATGGGGGATGAATTACTATAGGGGGGATGAATTAATATGGGGAATGAATTACTATATGGGGGATGAATTACTATGGGGAATGAATTACTATTTGGGGGATGAATTACTATATGGGGGATGAATTACTATATGGGGGATGAATTACTATAGGGGGGATGAATTACTATAGGGGGGATGAATTACTGTATGGGGGATGAATTACTGTATGGGGGATGAATTACTGTATGGGAGATGAATTACTATAGGGGGGGATGAATTACTATAGGGGGGGATGAATTACTATAGGGGGGGATGAATTACTATAGGGGGGGATGAATTACTATAGGGGGGATTAATTACTATGCTTACTATGGGGGAATATTACTATACTTATTATGGATGACACATACACATCATTCATCTACTCTTGGTCCGGCCCCCGGGTCCAATATATGAACCCATTGCGGCCCTCAAGTCAAAAAGTTTGCCCACCCCTGAACTAGAGCCTGCTTTGGAAAAGAGTTGCCCTTGATTTCTGGAGCATGGTGACTGCAATATACCTGGTCGGTCTTTTATTGATGCTGAATGTGATTTAGTACACTTTTATTTATAGTCTGCATTTTAGTATATAACATCTGAATTTCTGAATGCAGTAATAGATATGCTTTCTTGAGAGAAATATGGGACATTTTAGTTGTCTGTCATGCCAACATTTTGGTTTCAGTAGTTTTTTTCATTGCCCCGAGGCGAGTATTTGTATCTGAAAGTTCTGCACACTTATTCCAGATTAGAGATTTATTGTATAGAAGCCACTGGATCAGCATTTCAGCCAGGCAGCTAGCATTGTCTGAATCAGACGGCAGTAGTTGCAGGCTTTATCTTTCTCTCCTTAGAGATCATCTTTAACTCAAGTTTAAAGTTACTTAATCTGTAAATCCTAATTTATTTGTATGATTTCCAGCTGCCTCGGTTCTACCAGCTTTGTTCTGACAATGTATGGGGTGTGCGGAAGGCCTGCGCTGAGTGCTTCATGGCAGTGTCCTGTGCAACTTCTCAAGAGCTCCGACGGACCAAGCTTTCTTCTCTTTTTATTAACCTAATCGGTGACCCATCTAGATGGGTATGTGTTATTAATAATATTTTAACTTTTTTTAGTATGACAAAAGGGAAAATGTATTTGATTTGATTTCCTAGCAGCAAGTGAAATTACTTAATGAAATAATTCTGTCTAGAAAACACTGCACATGTGCTAAAATCAGAGTCCACTCAGTTTACATTAATCGGAGTTCTGTATACTGTAATCCACAGCATCTGGATATCACAGACCTGCATGTTGTGGATGGGTCTGAAGTCTATTTCTCTGTTTTTGTATCTTTTCCTTCCCTGACCTGATCTGTTATCAGATTCAGCCTTCAAAGTCTAGTTTAGTGACCAAGGCATTTCCACAGAACATCAGGCAAGTCCGCTTCTTCATTTATACCTACAGGTAAGCCTATAATATGGCTTACCTGTAGGTACAGTAAATATCTCCTAAACGTGCAATGCTTAGATGCTGGTGACATCACCAGTGCATGCACTCTGAATGGATAGCATGCCGTCCATTGGGAAAGCTGTGCTATGGCAGTGACTCCTGCCCTCATGTATGGATGTGACCTTATTAAAGCACAGCCATTCAAACGGTTAGAGCCCGCAAACACGGAAGGAGGACCAGGTGAAGATGGAAGCCTGGTCAGCGGTAACGGTGCACCTCTGGAGAGCTTTGTTTTAAGGTATGTCTATCATAATGTGCTAGTATGCGATGCATATGACCTTATCCTGCAGGGACCCAAATCTGTTATTTTCAGTTTTTGTTTTTTTTTTTAAAGCTTGGAACCTGCAAAATATATGTTGGAAATACCTTAATTGCATTACATCAGTAAAGCAAAAGAGATTTTCAAACTGCACATTTATTGACAGGAGAGAGTGGGGTAGACTGGGATGCTAAAATTATGCCTGGTGAAGAACTTGGAACAGGTAGGCTGTGGTAATGACCAAAAAGGTGGGCTGTTTTAATTGTATGCATTGCATTACTTGATTCACAAGGCTGAAAAAACAAGATAAGGAATCTTTTTTTCAGAAAAGTGACAATTATTTTTACAAAATTTACAATCACATCACTAAAAATACAGTTCCTCCTCCTTGTGTAAAGCTTTGTGAATTGGGCTCATAGCATTGGTACCATTGGCTTTTTGCTGCCCCTGGAAAGTCCTAAAAATGTTGATGTGATTATGACTTGTTTCTTAGGTACGCCAAGCTGCCTTTCAATCCCTTGGGCCTTTTATATCAACTTTTGCAAACCCATCTAGCTCTGGTCAGTATTTCAAGGAAGAAGAATGTAAAAACAGCAAGGATGTAAAACAAAATGAAGTTAGTGAGAGGTATGTGAATCATCCATCTTTTATTGCCATGTGCTTTGAATTAAACCTTGACCTGAAAATGTTCATGTAAACTGTGAGGATGGAGATTTAAAACAAAAAAAACTACACTCCCAGTTTCCTCTGGATTTCACTTTGTGACAAGTTTTAGGTGTCACTTTATTACAGGAACTTGTATAGTGCCGTCAATTTATGCATCACTTTACATACATATATTGTACATTCATATCAGTCTTTTAAAACTATAGCTTATTATGTAATGTTTTATTAGTACTCTATAGTAGCTGTCCTAAATCCTAATCGAGTGCCTAGTAGAAGGACAAGCAACTAATACCACTTGAAGTAAACTGTTTGGTGTTATTTTTTTTTTTCCCTCTCATTTCAGATAGATTTGCTTTGTTAGAATCCTTTTTCTTTTTCAATGTATTACCCACTTGAGGAACACCCTATAGCACTTTTACTGCTACAGGGTGACCCTCCTGTGCAAAATCACGTGTATATATACGTGACTTTGCACGTCCACCATAGGGGGCACACATGCGCCACCAGTGGCTTACTTCTGCTGGGAACGCTCTCACTGCAGAAGCCGATCTGCGAGTCCCCCGCTGATCATCAGGCAGGAGAAAGAACAGAGTTCTGCCTATGTAAACAAGGCAGAGCTCAGTTCTGACAGGTGGTGAATTGTGTCTCTCTGCAAAGGTGGGAACAGGATCCTGTAGTTCCTGTAGTAACAACGCCACCTCGTGTACACCAAGCACATAGCTAGGCACACATTTAACCCTTTGATTGCCCTAGATGTTAACTCCTTCCTAACCTGTGTCATTAGTACAATGATCAGTGCATATTTAGCACCCAATCACTGTAGTCGTGTCACTGGTTCCCACAAAGTCAGTTAGTGTAAAAATGTCCGCTGCAATATCACAGTCCTGCTATAAGTCGTTGATTGCCGCAATTACTAACTATATATGTTTGTGTGTGTATGTGTGTGTGTGTATGTATGTATATATATGTATGTATATATATATATATATATATATATATATATATATATATATATATATATACACACACACACACACACACACACACACACACACACACACACACACACACACACACACACACACACATTCAGGTCCATAAATATTGGGACATCGACACAATTCTAACATTTTTGGCTCTATACACCACCACAATGGATTTGAAATGAAACGAACAAGATGTGCTTTAACTGCAGACTGTCATCTTTAATTTGAAGGTATTTACATCCAAATCAGGTGAACGGTGTAGGAATTACAACAGTTTGCATATGTGCCTCCCACTTGTTAAGGGACCAAAAGTAATGGGACAATTGGCTTCTCAGCTGTTCCATGGCCAGGTGTGTGTTTTTCCCTCATTATCCCAATTACAATGAGCAGAGAAAAGGTCCAGAGTTCAAGTGTGCTATTTGCATTTGGAATCTGTTGCTGTCAACTCTCAAGATGAGATCCAAAGAGCTGTCACTATCAGTGAAGCAAGCCATCATTAGGCTGAAAAAACAAAACAAACCCATCAGAGAGATAGCAAAAACATTAGGCGTGGCCAAAACAACTGTTTGGAACATTCTTAAAAAGAATCTGTCATCTGTCATCGGCCGTGTCCGAGATACTTGGCTGGTGACAGATCGCGGCTCTGTGGGCATGCAAACTGCGCATGCCTGAAAGGACGCCATACGGCGTCCACCCGGAGGGACGAGGGGTTTTGCAGGCCACCATCTGGCTATAGGTTGGGCGGGAACCTGAGATAGAGAGATATATATATATATATATATATATATATATAGATAGATCGATAGAGATATATATATATATATATATATATATATATATATATATATATATATATATATATATATATATATATATTTTTTTTTTTTTATTTATTTTATTTTCAAATTGCTGGTCTTTTTTTGTTTAGAAACTAAAAACTTCAGAGGTGATAAAATACCTTCAAAAGAAAGGTCTATTTGTGGGACTGAAAGGACATAAATTTATTTTATGTAAAGCACTGCGTGACTGCGCAATTGCCAGTTAAAGTAATGCAGCACCTTCTCTCAGAAAATGGCTAGGAAGGAGGGTAAATCTTCTGGAGAGCAAGTGGTTTAAAAATATATAGTGTGTGTATATTTATATACAGGCTTGTTTGCATGATCATACGTGTCATGGTCCTAGTTATAAAACAAGTTGGAACAACATATAAGGGTTTATTTGCTAAAACTGCATGGTGTAAAATCTGGTGCAGCTCTGCATAGAAACAAGTCAGCTTCCAGGTTTTATTGTCGCAGCTTAATTGAACAAGCTGAAGTTGGAAGCTGATTGGTTATCATGCACAGCTGAACAAGATTTTGAGTGCTCCATCTTTAGTAATTCTCCTCCGCAGTAACATACTGTCAATGCTCATTGCAATACAAAGTTAATTGTGAATTACCCTGTATTTGTCTTACCCTTCATGGCCCTAAAGATGGACTGAATGGGTTAGACTAGCCTGGAATGTGACATTAAGGCCCTAGGCTGTGCGTTATAGAGCGTTCCTGACCAGAATGTAACGTGTTAACCGTATAGCGCATTCCGAGAGTCGTGGCACGGCCCCAGGTTTTTTCCTAATATTTCGAAAGCTTCATTTATTAAATAAGGCTGGCTGGGTGATAGCAATGCAAGCTACCTCACTGCTGTACAACTTGGGCACCACCATTGGCTTATGGCTTTAAAGATTAAGGCTGAAGGATTGAGTGCTGACATTATTCATTGCAGTGCTCTGTGTGCTTAATAATCTTTCCCTGCCATTCAGTCTGGAGGAAGTGGCATCCTGCTTCTGAAAAACCGTGTTTTTCTGCAGTTGGTTTCCAATGCCCACCTACAGTGACTTGATCACCTTCGGTGGCCTAAAACAGTCAACACCTGCTACCCAGGTTTGTGAGTATTGAGGTCTTGCCTCACTTTGAACCTTGTTGCATTATGACTGTGGGAACGCAACGTCTTTGCTGAGACACAGAGGATAGTACCTCTGCCCTATGTGATCTCACAGGTTACCTCTGCCCTATGTGATACCCACAGGTTCTAAGGATGCCCCAGCCCAGTCCCCAGCAGGCTTGGCCCCTGAGCATCCTGAGCCTCAAAATCAAGCTGAACCAGAGGGGCCTAGTCACTATCTCTATTTCAGAGTCTAATATAGAGGCTGATGTTGTACTACCTGCTGGTGGCTCAGATTTCTAATGGGTTGTCTCAAACCTGATTGATTCAGTGTGTACTACTACCCTGCATCTGGAAGGGTAGTAGTACCCTTAGCAGTGGACTTTGTGTCCACCCTAGTGTCTTCTCCTTGCATCCCAATTGCGGAACACTCAGACCCTCGCTTCTTGAGCATTTGCAATCCATCTTTCTGCTGGACCTTATCCTGTAGGTCTTTCTCGGAAATTACTACTGCTAGTTATTTTGGTTCATTGATGGATGAGAGGTTTTGGTCTAGGCCCTCAATAAAAGGGTCCCCTTCCAGTGGACTTTTGCTCTCCTTACCCGTCAAGCAGATTACCCTTTCCTCCTCTTCAGGGCATGTGCCCCTCTGCCATGGCCTCCCATTCTCTTGTGGACTCTTTCAGCGTTGAGGTGTCTGGACTTACAGTGCAAGAGTTTTTTATTTTTTTTTCAAGGTTTACAAAGACTTTATCTTTAATGTTTTTGTACTTGAGTTTTCATATTACTATTGTCTTAGTGCCTACTGTCCATCTATATTACCTGGTTGATCCTGCCTGTGCCCCTCCTCGTGACAGTAAACTGACCACGCTAAACATGGCTACCGACCCATGCTAAAATATATAAACCAATTAATACGGCGCTATAGTAACAAACAAGCGGTACAATAAGAATTAAACACATATAACTGACATCAGTGTGGGGTGAGGTGGACGACTATGAGAATATCATGCATTGAAGTGACAAACAATGGTGAATAGTGTCCTTAGTGTATCACACAGACTTCATGCAGGTGTGAGCTGCAATGTGCCAATCCTCTAAGGCTGGGGTGCCCCCTCACCTTCCTGCTCAGGCCCCCAGGGACCAAAGAGCCTTGGGTAGTAAATTAAATATTCCTCCAGATAACAGGTGGATCCCTCTGGCAGTAATGGTGTAACTCACTCCTCCTGGTTAGCCTCAGCAATAGATGGTAAGCCTCAGCAATAGATGGTATCCGTGGTGTCTCTCCGGTAATGGCTCTCCAATACAATCACCAGTGAGGCAAGAGAGACTCATATAGTGTAAAACCTTTTATTTATTTTTAAAAAAAACTAAAAACCTACTTACACAGATCTTCAGACAAGCAAGCCTTTACACCACTCCAAGGGTGTACTGTATTCGGAAAACGGAGCACCAAGATGGCGCCCACGCCGGATATGACGTCAGGCCGTCGATCGTCAAAAGCTCCTCCCACTGGTGTATCTACGCGTTGCGTCACTCAAGCACGTGACTTCTTCAGGATCACGACCGATCCATGCTACCGTGGTCAGTTTTTACGTCCTCCGTGATCCCGCACTTAGATACAGGCACACTGTGTAATCACACAATGTGCCTATATCTTCTGGGGTCAGCATAAACCACGCCTTCCTCCAGCCTTGACTGACATTGGCTTTCCCCTACAGCCACTGTTCCTCTCCCGTTTTTGGGAAGCTACCTCCCAGACATGTGAGGCGTGTCTACCCGCTCTATACACTCCCACTAGCAGGTCATGTGATCGCTATTGATTCCCGAGTGATTTACAGACCTGCTGGTGGGTGTGTATACAGCGGACAGACTCTCCTGACATCACAGAGAGGAGAGGAAGGAGGAGCAGCTGGAGCCACTCTATATGCCCACCAGAAGATCTGTGAATCCCTTGAGTGCCTAAACAGGAAGTGGAAGCAGCACAATGAGCCAACCAGTTGTGCTGCAGTGCTTGTTTGCTAGGAAGATGCTGATTGGAGGGGGGAGCAGTTTGACAGTCTGCTGCTTATCTTTTTTTTCTGACCAGCCACAGGCTTTGGGTGGAGGGGACAAGTCCTGTCAT